CCCCCCATCTCAACAAAGCTAAAAGTAGTTGGATGGGCGGAATGTGATTTTAGCTGCGTCGGGGTAAGGAGATTCGCTCTAGGTTGCCATTGTGATTCACCCCTCTTACTCCATGGAGACTCTTAACTCTTTAAACCTGAAAAGTACATTCTGAAGTTCAGCACAAAGTGTCAAGAGAGTGCATTGAACTGCTCTTGTGTAGCTCAATTATACTCCTCTTCCCCTGGCAGCTGTTCCCTGATCAAAAATATATAGTATTACACAGTACTTTCATTAGGCCCAGGTTCACAGATAACAGTGTCCACTTTTGGTCAGTTTTTAGTATGTTTAGCATTGTAGAATGTTTTCAAATGTTTTCATTATTCTATTGGGCATCACGGTGCATGAAAATGCGCAGAAAAAAATGGACATGCCTCAGCTTTCAAACCACCCCATATGGAAGAAAAAATTTATTTTGAAATATATTTTTTAAATATTCTTCCCCAAATATATTGACATATATATTTGAAATACTACAATTTTGGCCATATTCAATATATATATATATATATTATATATATTATATATATATACACACATATATATATATATATATACACACATACTGTATTTTGAAATGCGTTTTTATTACAAAATATATGAACAATATTTTTAAAAATACATTTCAAATTATACTGTATGTCTTTAACTGCCTCCCGCCCACCATATAAAGAAATGACGGGTGCAAGGCGGTTCTCTCTCGTTCTGGGGAGGACGTCAGATTACGTCCTCCTAAGCCCGTGAGCAGCTCCAGGGACGTGCAGCGTGGCAATCAGTGGTGCGCTGTGTCCCTTGGCTCTGTCATGTGATCAGCTGTGTCCAATCACAGCTGATCGTATGTAAATAAGGAAATGCCGGTTATCAGCATTTCCCTCCTCACGTGCTGGCACGTTGATAATGTGCAATGATAATCAGGGCACTGATGATCAGTGTGCCCTAATGATCAGTGTAGCCCCATCAGTGCCACCTGTCAGTGTCCATCAATGCCAGCTGTCAGTGCTCATCAATGCCACCTGCCAGTGCCTATCAGTGCCACATATCAGTGCCTACCAGTGCGCATCAATGCCACATATCAGTGCCACCTATCAGTGCCAGTCAGTGCCCCCTATCAATGCCAATCAGTGATGCCTATCAGTGCGCATCAGTGCCGCCTATCAGTGTCCATCAGTGCCGCCTAACATTGCCAGTCAGTGTCACCTAACAGTGTCAGTCAGTGCCGCCTATCAGTGCCATATATGAGTGCTGCCTTTCAGTGCCCATCAGTGATGCCTGTCAATGCCCATCAGTGCCACCTACCAGTGCCTCCTCACTTTTATTTTTTTTTAATTTTCAGTTGTTTTTGGTTTGTTTAGCAAAAAATAAAAAACCCCAGTGGTGATTAAATACCACCAAAAAAAAGCTCTGTCTCAAAAAAATTATAAAAATGTCATATGGGTACAGTGTTGCATGACTGCGCAATTGTTATTCAAAGTGTTACAGCGCTGAAAGCTGAAAATTGGCCTGGGCAGGAAGGGGGTACAAGTGCAAGTGGTTAAAAATACAAATCTGCATTTTTGGAATGCATTTACAAATATATGTAAAAATATATGTTAAAATGACTTTAAAAAAATATGAAGAATATATTTATAAAAAATTAAATAAATATTTTTAAAATATTTATTTTTTAAATATATTCTTCAGATTTTCTTTAACATACTGTATAAAAAAAGTAACTTTAACATTTATTTTTACATATATTTGTAAATGCATTCCAAAAATGTAGATTTGTACTTTCAAAGACATACAATATATTTGAAATGTATTTTTAAAAATATGTTTCACATATTTTGTAGTAAAAAACGCATTTCAAAATACAGTATATATATAATTTTTTTTTTTATTTATTGAAATATATTTTGAAATATATTGAATATGGGCAAAAATTGTAGCATTTCAAATATGTCAATACATTTGGGAAGAACATTTTAAAAATATATTTTTCTTTCCATGTTGGATAGCATGATTCATTGAAGAGATCTGAACATCCTCAATGAATAACATGGCTTCTTTTGACACAGACGATGTTTTGCCTTACAATGCATGCTATAAAACAAGGTGTGAGCAGGGCCTAAAGCTGGCCATAAATGGATCAAAATTCTGCTGTTTCAGCAGGAACCGGCCTAATTTTAATCTATCTATGGCCATTCCCACTCAAGTCGATATGAAGACTGACTCCTGTCAAAAGAGACTTTTGGCAAATTTTCATTCAATCAGTGGCTGCAGCCAAACAGCTAACCAGTGTATTCTGACAATACAATAGGGGCAGCGGGGAGGATGGGGGAATCTGTTAATTTTTTTCCGATCAGCTCTCTAAATGAGAAAAAAAAAGTAATCTATTGTCAGCCTTAGTCCCTGTCATCGCACCTTCTTCTACTATGAACAGGTCTTTGTTATGTAACCAAAATACCCATTCCTTCAGTACACTGGATGAAAAGAGGTAATTACTGTGTCATAACTGTCCTCCGTTAACCTTTTATTAACATCTAGATGCTAGTAAATGGGCTGAAAGTTCATTGATAAAGAAGTCCTATTCATTAAGAGAGGTGTCAGGACTTGGATCACCTGCTCCTGGGACTGTGCTTCCCAGAGCAGAAGTTTGTAGTTCCAGTGTCCACCAGTGGGTGTCTCCCTGGAGGGGAGAGGTAGGGTATTTAGGTCTTCCCCTATTAGTGCTTCTCACTCCAGTGATTTGCTGGTTGCCAGCTACTCTAAGCCGATATCCTCATCTTGCTTCTGCCCTGCATCCTGTACCTGCTACCTCTTTCCTCCTTCCCATCTGTTCCCTGCATTTCTAGTTTACCCTGTTTATCCATGTTCCTCATTTTTGTATATATTGTATATAGTTAGTTGTTAGTTAGCCTTTCTATTTGTTAGTTATGACCTCTGGTTCACACTAATGAATTTTTTTGTGCTTTTTGCTACAATGCACTACAGTCTGATTAACATGGTTTCCTATGGGACATGTTCACATCCACGGTTTTTGAGCTGCTGCATTTTTGGAAAGGGTCAGGGACTTTTTTAAAAGCAAAAAGCAGCATTTTTGTTACAATAGAGTTCAATAGAGAAGCGGCTGAAACACATGTTCTGCATTTTTGCCGTGTTTTGCATTTGTTTTCTGCCCAGCAACAAAAAATTTCCACCCTAACAAAAAAAAAAGCTGAAAAAACACGAAATGCGGTAAAAACGCAGCACAAATGCGCATGTAAAAACGCAAAGCACAATGCAAAAAGCATTCAAAAAGTATTCTGTCACTGGGTTTTTGGTTCACATATATTTTTATGTTTTCTGTGCGCTGGTGTTTGGATGGATTTTGTTTCACTGTACATAAATCTCACCTAACGCATGCACAGTCCAGGCCCAGTTTCCAGAGTGTAGCCATGCAGAACTGGCCATCCCTGCTGCTGATTCCTGACATGAAGACTTCTTTGTTTGACTAAAGTTTGGGTGCCAAATCCAAACCTCAGTGAAATCAATAGGAGCAGAATGTTTAAAACAATAATGGCTATTTCTAGGTCAATAGGCAAGGAATTGTCAGATAGACATGTGCAATTTGTTTCGTTATGAATCGAAACAATCAGGCAAAATTTTCGCTTTTCGAAGATTCGGATGTATCCAAATCTCTGAATCACAATAGTAATGAATTTCAACAAAACTGAAATCAATTATAACGAAAACAACAAATTAATTCATATTCATTTGGATGACAAGATGCAATAGTTTGGGCCTTTTGTTAATGTGTGAAAGCATCTAAAATAAACGTACCAACATTGATTTGGATCCTTTCGTTTTATTTGGTACAGTAGTCTTTGACTCTTGGATTATATCAGCCAATTCTTTTTGCATTAACATTTTTCATTATTATAAAAATGCACCATATATGAAATGGAAAAGTATTGCAATAAATACAGTAAAGGACAGTATAAAAGTGAAAAAAGAGGATTCCCACTTATTGTGTTTGGGTTGGATGGAGGTGGATCCATCAGAATCCCTGAATGATAACATAACAAATTAATCTGAAATTAATTTTGTTCCATTTGTTACTTTAGGATGCACCCAACTTCAGTCAATATCATCCAATCAGCTCATTCTATTTCTATTTGTAGGTTGGACCAGCAGATAAATCTAAATATATGGAACTAATTCAGGAAGCTAATTATTCTTTTTTTTTGTTATTAATGTCTTTTATTAAATTTTATTTTAGTACAAATTAAAACAGTAAACAATTTATCATAAGATAAACAGTCTAGCTGTCCTTTTCCTAAACCCTCTCACCTTCCCACGCCAACCCCTCTATCCCCATAGTTACCCCTGTCAATCTATTTCTACCGACCTCTTTCTAAACCTTTCTACAAAACACCTATGGTCAGTCTACATGCTTACCACTACCCAGTTATTCAGTTTGAATCTCTAAATCCACCTACTTCGTACCCATTATCCTGAGATATTTTTCTGATGATTTAAAAACGTACCACCTACTCCATTCTTCTCTAAATTTTCCCATTTTATGCTCATCAATGTGGTATAACTCCTCCATCATATTTTTATATATTCAATCCTCCTCATCCAATCTCTCCTTGTTGGGGGATCTGGAACCTGCTAGATATTAGGGATTAATCCTTTTGCAGCACTAATTAAATGATATATTAAACAATTTTTATACTGTTTTATTGACAACTCAGTCCTATAAAACAAACAAACCCACGGATCCTTTTGGATAGTTATCCCCACAATCTCCTGTATATATTGAATTACCTCTTGCCAAAGCCCCTGAATTTTTATACAATCCCACCAAATATGAGTTCATAGTCCCTCTTTCCCTACAACCTCTCCAATATAGTGGCGAAACTTCTCTCTGTTTATGTGCAACACTCAGTGTACAGTACCTCCTAACTAAGCACTTATAGTTAATTTCTACTGTGTTTATATTTACCACTCTGTGCATCAATTTATACATTTTATTCTTCTGTTGCTCATTTCTTTTTGTACCCTGCTCCCACCTTTCTAAGAATAATGGAGGTTACGGCCCCGCCCATTCAATAAGAATCTTATATATTCTAGAAATTATATGTTTATAGGCAGACCCGTGACTCAACATTTTTTCAAAAGGGAATCCTCAGTGGTTGGGGGACTGCTGAAACAAAATGTCCAACTGATAATATCTAAATTCATCCAGTGTATAAAATAAATCTTTTTTACTCCTTAGTTCCTGAAATTTACATAACTTCCCCTAATCAACTATGTCCCTTAATCATGCATTTCTGTTTCGAAATCATTTTCCTGAGATATGATCATTCCCTGGTGGGAAAATATCTGTATCCATCAGGGGTATCAATAGTGAATTATACTCCCATCTCAATGATTTGTGCAACCATCCCTCACTCTTAACACCTCTCGTGTTAGTATATACTACTCTCTCCATTCAACACTCTAAACTTTTGTGGAATCCAAATAATCCTCTCCAATTTTACATTACTTAGTATACTTTCAATTTTAACCCAACTTTTCCCCTCTGAATTATAAGTCCAATCCACCACCCGTGATAATAACACAAACATATAGTACTTCCTCATGTTTGGCAAGTTCAATCCCCCTTTCTCTTTGTTGTTACATAGAATCTCACTTCGGATTCTAGGTTTCTTATTAACCCATATAAACATCAATATCATTTTTCTTAATATCTTGAAAAAAGATTCTGGCAAGTATATGGGGAGCATTTGGAACTTATACAGGATCTTTGGCACTATCACTGCCTTGACCAAGTTAATACGACCTATCCACAAGACCCCCCCCTATTGAGAGTCTTCTCAACTCATCCTTAACTTCATTTATTAATGTGGGATATAATTCGCTTGATACGTGTGTTTTTATTGGAAAGGTTAGTTTTTTGTAGGCACTGTGCTTCTACCTTTGATGTATTAATGTACAAAATATTAGATTTTGATAGATTTATTTTCAAATTTGATAACTCCCTATATCTCCTTAATAGTCCCATTAGATTAGGCAATGTCGTTCTGGGATTCACAGTGTAAAACAACATATCATCCGCATGCGCTGCTACCTTATGTTCTACTTCCCCCAACTTAATTCCCCTAATATCTACATTCTTTCTTACCATTGCCAACAATGGTTCCAGAGATATAACAAAACAACAACAGCGACAGTGGGCACCCTTGTGTAGTACCGTTTTACATTTTAACCCCCTTGCCTACCAGGCACTTATACCCCCTTC